AATTAATGTTATTCCCTAGAATCGAATGTCATTTTCTTCCCTAGGGTCTAAATGGTCCATTTTCCTCCCTTGGATATCGAAAAGTATTCTTCGCTTTTGAAATCAGTTATTTTATTCTTATATAGTTAAGGAGTAAAATCCCTAGGAGTGTAAAGTCCATAGGTTAGAAAAATCCATTTTACACTGTGGTGAAAAACTTTCTTGATAATTAATTACAGAAAAGTGATTATCATTGATCTTTATTAAATAAAATAAATGGTAGTTCCAGTTTAAAGCAAAAGAAAGAAAGAGTGTAGAATAATTGAAAGAAAATATGAAGACATAAATTATAAATATAAGAACCCTGGTTATATATATTTAAACGCTTGGGAAGTAAGACATAAAAGTTCTTTTCCAAAGGTGTTTAATTTTGTTCAAGACTCTTCAGGTCTATATCTGTTAAATTATTGAAGGCATTTCTGTTGGATGTTTTTGACGCAAATAAGAAAATATAACGTCTTTTCATTTGAGGATTTGCATGCACATTCCTTTTTTACTCTTCCTTTTGCCCCACGAGGAATTACTGGCGAACAATAAATACCGATATAAACGCACAGTTCGCATGTATAAACACCCGTGGGGATGATTTCGAGAAGAAATTCAATTTCGTCAAGTAGGATTAAAAGGAACAGTCAAGTGTATTATACCTGAAGGAATCTGGTTTACAGTCCTGTTTTTTTATGGAGCTGTTCGTTTTAAAAGACGAGAGAGAGCAGAGCTTTCTTCTTCTTCTTCTTCCTTTCAAAAGAGAACTGCTCGCTTCGATTCCCCGGCGGCAATATCGCGCGCGTCCAAGTCAAAGTGTAATAGATTGATTCTTCCTTTCAGTGGAATTCACCTGTGTGATTCCGGGAATATGATCCAATTGTAAATTTTGCCGATGCAAAAGGATTAAAATTTATATATTTATATTCCTTAAGGATTTATCATGCGATGTTTATAATGCTCGAGGCGGGAAAAATCATCATTGGAAGTTCAGGCATTAATTTACGTAATTAGATGCGATTTATCCTGCGAGTACGCCCCTGAATCACACCGAGACTTTATGAATGTGTTTGTGAATGTGTGTTGTGTATAGTATAGTTGTAACCGAGACGCGGATGAATATCGATCGAGACTCTCATTATTGATAATCTATAATCCATAATAAGCAGCTAACCGCAGCGGACAGTGGCAGCTTGAAGGATTATCTCACCTTGTAACACCTTAGGAAATCACGACACACTGTGACTGGGTTAGTTTACAGCTGCGATCATCCTTTACTTTATATTTCATCCAATGTCTTCGATATTTATTTTTTTTATTTATTTTAATTTAATAAATACGTTTATGCGAATTTTTTTTTACCAAGACATTTCTTTTCCTTGGGGAATATTTTTGACACTTTTTAAATTTGAAAATTACTGTATTAATTTGCTCCAGAGAGAAAGGAACAAGTTACTTTAGGAGTTACTTTAGGAAAAATCAAGGGAAAAATTTTGGTTATAGAAAAAAGTTTAAACAATCTGTAGAAAAAATCATGGAAACAAAGAAGCTAAAAAACTATTTTTACTCTAGGATGTGTTGTCTATTGGATAGCGTTCTCAACTTATTGTGATTTATTATCTAGGGTTCGAATCTTGGGAATATTTGATTTTTTTTATATCCAATAGTTGAAAACAGTTTATGTTTTAAAAAATGGTATTACCAAGAAACTACATATAATTGCAAACATTTCCAAATAATTGTTTCTAGTTTTTAGTATTTTCAAATTTGTAATCTATTTTTAATGGTACAAATTGTTGCATTTGGGTTAGAAATTGTTTTAGTTTATATTTGTTGAAGTTTATTATATTTCCAATTTATTGCAGTTACAATTTATTGTAGCTCCAATTTATTTTTGTTCCAATTTAATGTAGCTGCAATATGCTGTTGTTTCAATTTATTGTACAATGCATCTAATTTATTGTAGATCCAATTATTGTATCTCCAATTTATTTGTAGTTTCAATTTATTGCAGTATTAATTTATTATCGATGATAATTCAAATTTATGGCAATTCCAGTTATCGATAAATTCAATTAAGCTCAATTGTAAGTAGCTTCAATTGTCAGCAGTTCTTCTTAATAATAGTTATAGTAGGTCCAGTTTGTTATTAAGTAATTTTGGGTGGTTTTCCAATTTAATAACATTTTTTTGGTGATAAAGGTAACAATTACTAGTAGTTATAGTTAGTAAAACACTACAGATTATATTTCCACTTGTTTTCAGAACCAAATTGATAATAGTTTCAACATTTAGTATAGTTCCAGTTGATGGTAGTAAACAATTTGTCTGAGACTAATATTATAACTATAATAATCTTCGTATTTCATTTTTTCCACACTTTGAAGTTAGTTTTTGTGTATGCATTTGTTTTCTTTTTCTTTCTTTAAAAAATATTGTTTGACAGATCTAAAAAATGCAGGTATTTTTTCATGATTTATAATAAAACAATATTTGAAATTAGAAAATATTAATATTTCATGTTTTATAATAATTAAAGATGACCGAGTGTTAAAATAATTGTTTTTTATTATACTGCGAATAATACTGAATAAAACCAAAGAAAATATTTCACGCGCAAGACAAATATTAAAATAACAAAAAAAAAACACATTGTCATAAAATTGTTTCTCTTAGACAAAAGCAAGAACTGGAAGTTATTCTTCGACACTTCATATTCCGCTACTATATAATATTTGTTATAGTTTTCATGTATATATAATTTTTTACATGAAACTATTTACAATCTCATAAACAATGTTATAACGACTATCTGTAAAAATTATATGAATTATTTTAATAAGATTTCTACTTTTTTTTACGATTTTTAGCCGTTTTTAAGAAAAATAAACATTTTCATGGTCGTTGCGAAGTACTGATTGCTCATTCCTGGTTTATTAGCTATTATTATAATTTATAAAATTGCACGCATGCAACAAAAAGTGAAGGGATACCAATAACTTTATATTTATATGCAGTGATTTTCTTTCTCTCTGCAAAAAAAAGAGCGAATAACAAAAAAAAAACACTGAATCTCGCGCCTCTATTGATTTCTAAAAGTAACAATCAAAAATTTATTATTCTCAATAACAGAAATATAACACAATTTTTGATTATAAAAACTCGGCTTATTTCATCTTCGAGATTTTATTTTCATAGTTTATGTTATCATTTCTTTTTTTTATCCCTTTTATATATAAATCTTCTTTTGTTTCGGTATATATAGAAATCATGAAATCCTTATTAGAAAAAGATATAAATCATAAAATTCCCTTCTTCTTTATCGAAAGATATAAAAGTTCACTCCCTTAATGTAATATATATATATATAAATAAATATGAATAAGTTATGAGACATATATTTCTTTCTTGTATATACTTTATACAATAGAGAAGCGAATCGACAATTTCTAAATCACCCACATTGTTCAAGATATCTGCATAAAATTTTCCCTCGTACTGATAAGGATAATTCTTGTATATATCTATGTAGAGAATATATTTTCTCATCTTTAGATAGAAAGAGAGAGAGAGAGAGAGAGAGAGAGAGAGAGAGAGAGAGAGAGAGAGAGAGAGAGAGAGAGAGAGAGAGAGAGAGAGAAAGATCAATCATAATTCTTGGGTCTTTTATTCAATTCCACAAGTCGCTATTAGCATACATATGAGTCCAAAACAATCGAGAGGACAGATTTCCGTCTCGGATAAGACAAGAGAAGAATGTGAATTGTTGTCATAAAATCATGAAATTCCATGTTTATTCAATATATCGGAACAAAGTTGGACGCGGTTTTCTTCTTATCGGGCGCAGAAGGGTCAGGGGCGGACTGTGAGCGCGAGCTTGCCGCCGTTCTCGAATGGTGGAGGGGGAGAGATTCACCGGGAGGGACGGCTAATTTCATCGTGATAAAAGGAGGACCAGTGAATATATGCTCCTCCCGCTTTTATATATACAACTATACATTTTGCCTCGAGGCATACATATAAAGAAAAAAGAATGAAGAGAGAAAAAAAATTATTAATCTCCTTGAACAATGACCAGACTGTATATGATATAAACAAAATTCACTTCAACATTCATGTAATCAAACTATACTGATTTATTTTAATATTTTTAGATTTCTATACGAAAAACAATTTAGTTTTGCATGTTTGTGAAAATAATAATTGCATGTTTATGCTTTTTTTTCTCTCTCCTTATTATTAGAAAATGCTTCTATCTGTTTTTAATATCTTCAAGTTATTTTTGATTGATTATAAATGTATGAAACAAATTTATGCGTAATGGAGGAAAAATAAGTTGATCGAAGTTATGAATAAGAAACAATTTTTTTTGGGGAAAAAATATGAAACTTTTTGAGAGAGTGTTTAAAAAAAAAATAGGCCTCGGATTGTAACAGAATTTTTATAGAGTTTAATTTTTATTCAATAAAATTTTTATTCATTCGAATTTCTATTTGATCGAAATTTTATTCAATCGAATTTTTTCCACTTTTATTGGTTACTTTAAATTCTAGTGAAACGATCTTTTTTTTGCTCCTTAAAATTGATCCGAGGCCTAGAAAGATAATAATGGAATAATAATGAAAAAATATAGTTTGTAAAACTTTAAGTATAATTTTCTTCCAACTGTAAATTTTTTCTGATTTGGAAAGATTGTGAACATTTTCTGGAAATTCTATATCTGAATTCCAAGACAGAAGATTAATTTTCATTCCAATTCCTTTATTCGATTTTTTACAGATTTTGCAGATTGAAATTTTGCCTGAATTGGAAATTCATCATTCAGTTGGAAACAAGATTGAATTTCAGATTTCGATTAAAATTGTTATTGGAATTCGAGGAGAATTTTAGGAATACTTTACAGTTTGGGGGAAAATTTTACCAAAATAAATTTTTGAATAGTAATGAGTATAAATTAGAAAAAAAATTACTTTCAGGTTGCGATGGAGAATCAGACGAAGGTGGAAGCAAGCGTAGAAGAAGCAGGACAAATTTCAATAGTTGGCAATTGGAGGAACTGGAACGAGCTTTCCTCTCGAGCCATTATCCCGATGTATTTATGCGGGAGGCGTTGGCTGTGAGACTCGAACTAAAGGAGAGCCGCGTTGCAGTAAGTATTAAAATAGTTAATTGGAAATTTTTTATTTTCTTTAGAAAAGAAATACTTTTCTAAAACAAATTTAATGATTCTCATCATAATTTTATGAAAATGCGATTTTAAAGAAAAATTTTAAAGATTTCTCATACATACTAATTTAAATAATTTTCTAAATACTACAAAAAATTGCAAGTTTCCCTTAAGTTTTTGCTTCAGTATTGCAAGGAAAGATTGCTGCAAGCTTACTAAAAAAACGTTGCAAGCTTTCCGAAAGTTTTTGCCTCAATATTGCTTTGTAACATTAGCAACATTGTCAAGCAATATTGACACAATGTTGTTCTCAAATATTATGCTATTTAGAATTAATCGAAAAAATTTCACCTTCACTAAAAGGTAAATTTTGATACGTTTTTGTCTCAGTTTGATATCCTTAAGAAAACTGTGATATGATCGAGATTACATATAATTGAGTCTCTCGACTATTTGTTATCAGCAAGAAAAAAATTTCATAAAGTGGGTAACAAATATGAGGAACGAATTGAATTGAGATTAGTTTCTTTGTAGATATTTCTTTTAATGTGTTTCGCGTATCAGAAAAGGGTGCATAAAGAATTTTGTGGGGAGATGATTTTCAAAGATTACTTGGCAAGATAGGCGCGAATATTTGAATTGAGTTTAGATTTAACTTGATGTGAGGGTTGATTCTCGACAGACGTTTAGGGAGTATTGGGATATTCGACCTTTTGACTTGGAAAGATCTCGCCAGTAACTCTTACCCTCTTTTTGTTTCTCTCTCTCTCTCTCTCCTTTACTCTCTTTCTCTGGTTTTTGGTCCCCTCTCTTGGGGGTAGTTAGTCCATCTGCTAGAGCTGTGGTTGCTCTCTTGCTCTCTCCTCTCTTACATCTTTTGGAAAATACGCGTTCAAATGCATATGGGGTGCGAAAGCCAATGGGGAATTAGAATTCCTAGTATCTTATCTTATCTCTAATGACATCCACTTGTCACGTTTTCTTTTCAGAATACAAAACACAATTAATTGTTGTAGCACATCACATTAGTTTCTGTTATTGTGGTCTATTTTTGTATACGTATGTGTGTGTGTAGATTTATGCTATGTGTTAACGTTTGTGATGACGGATTAAACTTTGATTCAAATATTTGTAGTAGTTACAAAATAATTTAGCTTCATAAACTTAATAGTTACTGCTAATAGTTGAATTTTTATGTATTAATAAAAAATTAACCAATTAGTGTTAATTTCAGTTGTTAATTGTTACAATTAGTAGCAGTACTAGATGATAACAGTTTTAGTTTATTATAGCTCTAATTGTCTGTATTTTTGACTCTAGTGACAACTTAAAATGATAACAATTCTTGTTATTACTAGTTCAAGTTAATTGTACCTCCATTTGTTAGTACACTGGAGCTTCACTTCTTTTCAGTCTCACTTATTTGTAGTTGCACTTATTTTCATAATTTTCTTCTTCTTCTTAAATGACTTGAGGCTTAGCCAACTGTCAGAACAAACACTTAGAAGAATGAGAATTAAGAATCAAAAATGTCCATGAAATTGGTTAATGTGAACAAAAAAAAAATGGCGTCAAACGCAATTCGGTAAACTATATAAATCTATGGCGGTTGATGAACACGTGTTGGGAGGTAAAGATGTGAATTAAATATTTATACTATTGCAAATATGAATTTAAGTTAAAAAAAGTTAGTTTAGAATCATCTCCTCCGAATACTTGAAGTTAGACACTTTAAAAATACAAATAAGTCAAAATTAGAGAACTATAGACATTGTGAGGTAAATCCTTGAATTGATGCTTGAGAACTGTACTTGGGAACGGTCAAAACCGAACCCACAATTTCCAGTCTCACTTATTTTCAGTTAAAAGGTTCTCCGTGCGTTCTCATTGGTTGATGTTAAAAAATCCACCAATCAAATCAACTCGAATATTACGTTTCAGAGTGAAAATAAGTGCGACTCTGCCTTTCAGTTTGTTTGGACTTGCGGTGAAAATAAGTGAAGCTCTAGTGTAATATACAAATTTTTGTTTTTAATATTAGGAGCTATTAGTGTCAATACCAGTTGATTAAAGTTTTAGCTTACTATAGCCCCAGTTGTTAGAAGCACCAGTCGAAGAGAAATCCAGTTATCAGTAGTTCCATTTCGTGGCAACTAAGCAGAACAACTATACTATCAAGATGATGATAATATCCAGACCATTCATTACAGCTCTAGTTGATATAGTAGCTTCAGTTAATACCACCAGCTAGTAACAATTCCAGTTTATTAATAGTTTCAAGTAGTGATGATTCCAGTTGTTAATAGTTCTAATTAGAGTCAATACAAGATAATGATAACTATAGTTTATTATATGTCCATAGTTGGAGATAGCTTCCGTTGTTAGTAGATTTCATTACTATCAACTACAGATGGTGGTTATTCCAGTCTGGCCTGATTTCAGTAACTAATTTGTGTAACAACTGGATTGTTACTTCAGTTGTTAGCAGTACCAATTCTTGTTTTTAATAGAAGCTATTAAAAATATCAGTTGGCAATACCAAATGATGACAGTTTTAGTTCACTTGAACTATACCAGTTATTAGTAGTATACATATCAGAGCAATTCCAGTTGTTAATATAGTTTCAATTAGTGACAATATTAGATGATAGTATACTTTCAGTTTACTACTATACACACTGAAAGAGATGATTACGGTATGTTAGGAATTTGGTTATGTTTATGAATTTCTGTCAAGTTGGGCTGTTTCTATTCCAGCAATACTATATAGGTAATATAACCTAAATTATGCCTGTACCTTCTATATTTTTCTTTCAGTGCAGTTGTTGGTAGTAATAAATTGTTAGTTCTTAGATGCAATTCCAGTTGTTAATAGTTTCAATTAGTGACAATATTAGTTGATACCAGTCTCAGTTCTCTACTGCTCCAGTTTTTAGTTGTAGTACGAATTTTGTAGCAATTCTTGTTTTTAATAGATCCAATTAGTCATAAAACTGCTGACATGACAGATGATGCTTTCAGTAAATAATAGTTCAAGTGTATTGTTTAAACTGATAGTAGTTTGGGTAACTATAAATAATTACAGTTTGTTATTTATGGTTCAATTTTATTGTATCATTAGTTGTATCACAGTTTTTGCAATCTGAATTAAGCTCCTTGACATTTAGTAGTGAAACAGGGTTTATTGTTTTCATTACTTAATTGTTGGGTTTTGAATATAAGTAAAACACGTGATTGTATTTTAACAATTAATTTATTCAGTTAAATGCAGGATTAAATATATATAGAGAACAGACAAAGTTTATACGATAAAAACGAACGTTGTTACTCTGTTAACTGTTCATTGCCGACATTAATGTAACACTTATTAATGATTCACTAACTACAATTTATCATTATAACTTTACAATTTATCATTGCTTCAGTTGATGGTATAGCTCAAGTTGTTAGCAGTGCCGTTTAGTGTCATTTTCAGTTGATGATAGTAACAATTTATTGTAGCTCCTATATAGCTATAATTATTAAGCTACTAACATTTGATAGTTAGCTTAATATTTTCAGTTCTCAATTTGATATCCTTAGAAAAACTGTGTTTGCAGCAGGGTTTGTTTCAGTTGTAAGTGGTTCTAGTTAGTACTTCCAGTTTCTAACTAAATTTGCCTCGTTACGTATAACTTAACTAAAAATATGCAAATTCAAAATCGACTTCAAGATGCCGATTACATAAGACTTTAAGAAAATCCTCCTTGAAGCATCTCGATGACGAGATATGGACGTTGGAAAAATTGAGAAGTGAAGAGAGGGAGGATATGAAAAGGGTGGCTGTCAATTTCACGGCCGGTCGGACAAACGCTTTTATGCGGGCACCCTCCCGTTACATACGTCTGCTCTCTATAATTCTATATAGTCATCCATAGGATATTTATATTTATGCGCTTAGACACGCTTCGAGAAGCATATGTGGTGTGTGCGCGCGCGCATCTCCTACGCAAATCCGCAGATAATTTATCTAACCATTTGGCCCTTACAAGAAATCAGAGACATTTACCAAAAAAAAAACCCTTTTTTTTCTTCTTCTACTTCTCCATTGTACTTTCCCCCGCAAACAAACGAAAGAATAAGAGATTTCGATGATAATTTTCTCAAAACCTGATGTGTGACGTTGAACAATATCTTTTAGGACACGTGGGGATATGTCCTTGTTCTCTGGTTTGTGCGAAGATTAGATAGGAAATTAAGAGATTTGTCGGAGGGACTGTGAGCAGACGGTGAACTTTGAATTTGTGTGAATGTGTGTGTGTGTGTGCGCGGTGGCCTTTTTGGGTGAGTTGAGAATACGATCCAACCTCTCGTGTTGCTAAACAAGGGGTGTAAACTTTGCTTTCAGCCCGATTCTCAACACTTTCCACGAAAGGAACCAAGAATTGGGAGGGGGAAGGGAAGAAGGAGGAGGGTGATAATATTGGTGGATTAAGCTTTATTTCCCTCTAATTTTCGTGGAATGCACTTTTTCAGTTTACTTTGTTGCACCTTTCGTATTGTTAGGAATTTAATGAAACCTGTATTATTACTCAATTATCTTTCGCTTTGCGAAGTTTTTTTTTAACTTCTTTTTTTCTATTTACTTATGAAAAATAAATGTTTTTATCGAATAAACAAATTAAATTCTTGTATTTTATCTTTTTTATTTATATTTCATATTATTATTATTGCTTTTTTTATTCTAAGTGGCATAGCATAACTACACGCGCGCGTGAATTTTTCATTACCATTGTTACTATAAAAGATTTTCTTTTTGAATGTAAGATATTTTTTATTAAATAATTCGGTAATAAGTTTAATTCTTTAAAATTCAATTATTTTCCTAATTTTTAATTAGAATTCTTCAAAAATACGATTATATTTCAAAATAATTTTTAAAAGTAAACAAATAAAATTCATTAAAATGTAAAATTTATTTCAATGAAATTTGACAAAATTTT